TTATTTTAAAAAATTTTACATTAAAATAGTTTTTTTTTTTTTAATCTATTTAGGAGCTCTTAATGATTTCAGAATTTTCTGAAATTTGTTTGAGATTTTAAATTGAAATTAGACAATATTTTCCCTCCCTTCTTTCTTCTTTCTCTTATTTCTTTCCTTCTTTTATCTTCTTTCTTCTTTTATTTATTTTTCCATAGAAATGAATCTCTCTTCGTTACCAAAAGAAAGTCATTAGAAGAGTATTTTCTTAAGTCCAGCCTTGCCAGCTACTGCAATGTCACAAAGCACTTGCCCTAGTCACTCAAGCTGACACTGTAGGGTATAGAAATTGACGCCCAAAGCTCTCGTCGAGCATTCTGTGGCGCTGCTTTTGGCTGTTTACAAAGAGTCGCGTTTTCAGCTGGCGAGAAAGGCTGTCAGATCGCGGGAATTTCGAAAGGCCACGGGTCGAGTGGGGAGAGGGTTAAGTGGGGATGGGGGTAGTGTTGGCTTGGCAGGCTGTTTGGAGCTCTGTATCAAAAGGCAATTGAAAAGGCGGCTGCATGGCTGCCATTGCAGCGACTCCAAAGTCCAAAATCAAATCAACGAAAAATTCTAAACGTGCCAAGGCGCGATTCAATGAGAGAGTGAGAGAGGGTGAGGGTGAGAGAGAGAGAGAGAGAGAGAGACAGCGAGGGGGGGAGGTAGACAGCGAACGGTTATCAAAAATTCTCTTTATAGCGTGAGATAGCTGAGGTGCCACGCCCACTCAGACAGAGAACCGCCTGCCGCCAACAACCCCCCGCTCCGCATTCATTTCACATACACACAACAAAAATTCGCTTCGTTTTGCTGCTGCTTCTTCTTCTTCTTCGCTTTTTTCGGGAGCCTCTTTCAATGCATAAATTCATAATTCATATGGGGCCCCAAGCGAAACTCGGCAGAGCAAGCCTCCATTTGCAAAAATATAATAAAAAGCTGCTAGAGGGAGTGAGGGGGGTGGTGGGGTCAATGCAAGGATGGAGAGGGGGAGGGTCTCCAAATGCGTTCAGTTCGCTGTGGCTTAGTTTTCGGCGCCAACTGCAACCAAAGCAACAACAACAACAACTGGCGACGTGCTCAATTAAGAGCCTATACACACACCAACACACCCACACCCACACACACACACCAATACACACACACATTATGTTGTGTATAAAAAAAGTTGGGACTGGCACGTGGCGCGCCGCTAATATTTATGGCAATTAGTTTTAATAGTTTTCCTTGTAAACTTCTAACACTCCACGCTCTATCTATCTCTCTCTCTCTCTCTCTCTCTCTCTCTCTCTCTCACACTCTCTCTCCTCCCTCTCACTCTGTCAGCTCGTTGCGGAGTTTTAACAACGGTTTAATGTTGTTAACAATAATTGTTTGTGTGTGTGTTATGGAATTTAATTTCAGACAACAATTTCGCTAGGGTTTTCCTCCTTCGGCAACTTTCTGGGCGCCATTTTGATAGAAATTTGCGAAAGTTATTTTTGGCATATGAATAATTTGCAAAGCTGGTGATTATAAAGATGATAATAATGATAAGCATAACGAAAATGGGCATGACGATGAGCCTAGCAATGAAGATAATGATAATGATAGTAGAGATTTATAAATCATTATAATTCATACTTCATTCATATATTTCATTCGAATAATGACAATGACAATGATAATGATCATGCTCATGGTCATGATCACAATAATTCTAGTGCTCATTCACCATATCCAATGTACTAGATCGTAGACAAATTTCTTATTTGAGCATTTTACTTTTCAGAAGGCAATCAAAAGTTCTATAATTTCGTCAGCCCCCTAAAACTAGGCAATTACCAAACAAAATTTTAAAGTTCTCAATGAATATTCGAAGCAGATGTCAAAAAGTATGCAACGCTGATCAGCTTTGCATATATTATTATAAAGTACTAGAATGACATTGGGGAATTAAAGGGATCGCATTGTTCATTACTTCTGTCCGTTAAACTTGAACTCAAGTTCTTCATTCTCTGGTTCTTTTCAGTAAAGGGAAACGAACCAGCTCACAATACGAACTTGACTGCAATGAAAGCTCAATCCCCTCTCACGGCCTCTCCCGTTCCAATTCAATATACAAACAGCGCTTCCTGCTTATTTAAATTATAACAGATTATAACACTTAGCACAACTCATTGATTCATATATATTTATTCTTGTATTGATTCCAGTTGCTTTTGTTTGCTTTCGAAGCCCTTTGTTCATTTCGTGCACCGTTTAAATTACAGCTTTAAGCCGCCATCAACAAGCCCCCGAAATCGCTCTCACACTAGCGCGCTCACCCGCTCGTTCGGTCTCACTCGCTCACGCTTTACACGCTCTCACGCGTCAGCTCAGCTTCGACTTCCAGGCTTCGCTCACATGTGCTGGCCACTAGAAACCAGTTGCTCTTGTTGTTGTTAGTATCGCTTTGCACTTGCTGCCGCGCAGATCGTTCGAGTCGAAGTCGCCGTCGCCGTTGCCGCCGTTGCATTCGCCGTCGCCGCTGCTGTTGTCGCCGCGGCTAATTGGAAAAATGTGTGTATGAAAAGTGAAAAGTTGTGTTAGAATCGACGCGTAAAGTGTTTTATTTTGCAATAACAAACGAAAATTGATACCCGAACGCGAAAGCGAACTCGAAAGGGCGAAGGCCAAAAAGCGAGAAGAAGAGTGAGTGATAAATGAAACAGTTTACGGTTTACCGTTGTTGCGTTTTGATGTCTTTGTTTTGCTTTACAAATCAAACAACCAATTTGTTGCAACAACAACAATAAAAACATAAATGAAATGAAATGAAAGAAATGACGCCGTCTTTTGGCATTCCCGTGGCCATTCCCGAAACTTCCCCCCGTCCAACCGTCCATCCGCCTGCTCAGCCATAACCAAAAACCAGTTTTCGAGCTGTGCCCCTCGCTTTTGTTTTGTTTTTGTTTGCTTTACTTTTTACATTTCCCTGTTTTTGGATTTTCTTTCTGCTCATTTGTCATTATGTTTAACCTTTCGCTTTTGAGTTCATTTTCCATATGGATTTTCATAAATCTTTTTACGTTATGGTTTACAGTTTACGTTTTGTTTGGCCTATTCCAATGAGAGCACGCACTCGCCGCGCTCTCAATCTCACCCGCTCTCTCAGTCGCTCTTGTGCCGCCTTCCAGTGGCGTCTTGTTTCAATTTACTTTTATTTATTTTTGTTATATTTTACACATGTCGCGGTTTTTTTTTTTTTTTTTTTCAATGAGCCGCAAACCATAAATCAACGGCACTTTTTTTCTATATATATAAATTAACTTTGCTATTTCAATTGAAATATTTTTGAGCACTTAGCTCATCTATCTCTATCTCTCTTTCTTTTGCTTCTTCTGGTTCTTCTGTGCTGCCAGATGACGTCGTCAGCCTGGACTACAACAGCGACTCCACTGAGTTTCACAACTGCAGCAGCGACGATTGCTGCTATGCATCGACCAACACATTGACGCAGCCAGAAGAGCAGTCAGCGTCACAGTCAGCTGCGCCGCAGCAGCATCGGCAGCGTCTGCACTCCCTTTCCATGACTTCTTCTACATCTGCTTCTACTTCTTCATCTTCCAGCAATGATTCTGATTCGCTCTTTGGTAACTAAGCACAAATGAGTCTTGATTCTTATTTGACTTGCGCATGCCTGCTAAGAGAGTCAGTCGTATTAGAATTTTTGTGATGTGATCAGCAGTAAGACTTTTAATTGGATTGTCTTTAGTTTTCCAAAGTTTATTCTAATTGGATTTAAATTGTTTTGTTATAGTAATTGATCATATATATAAGTCTAATGATCCTTAGTCTTAATCGATATTCTAAAAGTATTCTTATGAGAAGGTCTAATAAGAACTATAAGAAACTTATAGAAATTCAAATTGAAAGTGTCTTAAATCGTATGCTTCTCGCATTGGAAATATTCAAATTGAATTGTATCTCTCCTCATTAAAAATGACTTCTATGTATATTTGTTAATCTATAAAAGACATTCATAACTATATTTACTAACTGATTCGATTTTCCTATTTTAGATCTCAACAATAAGGAGTTAATAGAGCTGAAGCGTCGCTGTCGCGCTGATAAGATCGCCGGCTTGAGCTTGAGTCGCATCACATACCTGAGCATCGCCCATGAATCGGAGCCAGATCCGGAGCAGGCGCTCGAAGCGGGGCTGTTGCATACGGAGCTGTTGATTACGCCGGAGAGTTCGCCGGATGAGCGGATGGCACTGCAGCTGGGCAAGAAGCTCGCCCAGGTGCTGGGCAGCAGCTCGGCCTCGCCCACGCCCACGCCCCCCGGCTCGCTCACGGAAGCCAATATGATGCCCGTGGGCGTGGCAGCGGGATCTGTTGCGATTGCCACGCCCCGTGTCGATTCGCCCCTGGGCAATGGGGGCGAGCTGTTCAACATATCCAAGGCCAAGAAAGTGGAGCTGCAGAATCTGTCGTCACGTTTCACAGCCGCCGTCAGCCCAGCCTCGACGCCCACAAATCTAACAGATGTGGGCGTGCCAGCGACAGGTGAGTCCCCCGTTCGGCCTTCGCGCATTTATTTGCTCATTTCACATTCCGGGCCGAGATCTGGCGGCATTTAAACTCACGTGAGGGTCGCCTCATCTCCGGTTTCCCCCATTACAAACGCATTAGCCGGAGTGGGCGCAAGGAAGGGCGGTAGGATGGGGGGCGTGTCTGATACCAGAGCATGTGCCTTTTGGCGATATGCGGGAATTATTCAAATTCCCACTTGGCCACCCGCTCGCAAATCAAACGAAACGCGCGGCATAAAACACGAATCTTCCTGTTTGCCCTCTTCATCTGATTGTTGTTGTTGTTGTTGTTGTTACTGTTGTTGTTGGGGAGCACTTGAAGCGCCATGTGTATGCTCAAGTGTGTGGCCCTTGTGTCCGAAAATAACAACGAAGCGGCAAAAAAATTTAAAATGAAAATGAGAATAACTAAAAGCCTTGTCCCTTTCGATACACTGTAAAATGAGTACAGAATGCGAGTATATTGGCTTATAGAATTTGAATTTAGACAACACCAAAAAATAATTTGTTATAAAAAAAAAAAAAAATGTTTATACACAACTTGTGTACCGAGCGGCATTTGAACCGCGAACCTTTCGCATGCCGTGCAGAGTGCTTCCCATTACGCCACTGGCTACGAAGTCAAACTCGGCTTTTACTTTCAAATAAGTGGCACCGTCAAAAAATAAATGAATAAAAATCATATTTATGTTCACAACAGGATTTGAACCGGGGGCCTCATGTTTAGCATGCAAAATCCTGCACATGCTAATTTTAGATTTCACTTACAAATAACAAATTACTTCTGCAATAAAACTAACATTAACTGATTATAATATATGGTCGACTCGAAGAGTACTCGAGCTCGTTTGTCAATCTAGGCCACTCTCTGGAAGCTACTCGCTATTTAATTTAAAAATAATAGCGCAATTAATAGGCAATCATATAAGTTTGCAGCAGGAATCGAACCATGAACCTCTTGCTTGCCAGGCAGAGTTCTTATGCTAAAAATGCTTGAGTTTCAGCTAAGCTAAATATAGCTGTCATTTGTAAATAGCTAATGACTGACTAATTAAGTAATTACGTACATATGATATATTGATAGACCTAGACATATTTCCCTCAAAGCACGATGACAGCTCAATTAATCGGGAAATATAAAATGGTTGCTACGCGAAGGCCTTACCTAAAAGGTACGGCTCGGAAGAGAATTGATTGAAAATTCAATTAAAATAAATGACAAATATTTTATAATTTAAGTGACTTTAATTATTATATTATTTTTTTTTTTTTTCTTTTTTTTTGTTTACTTAATTTTTATTCACGTAAATTATTCCACTTCTTCTTTCATTTCAATTTTTACCGAACAGAGCATTGCTCAGTCGTTCACACTCTAAGTTTTCCAAATTTTTTCTGCTCGTTTTTCCTTGGCGCTCGACGCCAATTCCATTGGTAAACATTGGTAAAGCATCTGCGCGAAGTGCTTGCCAAACTTTAAAGTTTGAGAAGCAGCAGCTCAAAGCGCAAAGGTCGAACCGAAATAAAATTGAAAATTTCGTCTTTGTATGGCAAAGTTCATGCAGAAGTAATAAAATAGATCGAATACCTAAATAGATGGGAAAGGTACAGGTATTTTAATATAAATTTAAAGTGGGAAAGGCCAAGCCCGGGTAATAAAAATACCATTTTATTTTAGTATGTAAATAAAAGCAAGGAAGTTTGCAAATTCAATATAAATAAATTGCGAAATATGTTTAATTTTATTATTTTTCAAAAGAAATAACGAAATATATATATTCCAATGCATCATCTTTTGATTGTGTTATTTGTCCTTTTTTGCCTTTTTTGCAATTTACAATTTTTATTGAATTTTATTTCGTTTTCATTGATTTTAATTACAATTTCTAATTGACATTACGTGCTGAACGTCTTAAAGAAACTCTACGAACGCCCCTAGATCCTCCCGTTCTATAAGTTCGCGCCTCTTTGAAAATAAAGTCAACCCATTTTTACTCTCCCGGCTATTTGAATAAAAATTTGTTTCAAGTTTTTTAATTAACTCGTGTCGCTTTGTCCTCTTTTTTTGTACTTTTCGGCCTGCTCCAGAAAAGCCTATTGTTTTTGTTCTTTTTTTATAACGGATGCGATCTGTGAGGCGCATAAAAATACGCGCTTAGAGGAAATATAAATATATAAAGTTAAAATTGAAACGAAAAATTGGCAAAAAAGAAGTGGTGAAAATTGTATGCTCTAGGTTTAGATACAGATACGAAAGACTATAAGTGTAAGGACTTGATAAGAAATATTGGCTTATTGATTAAATCATATGGAAATAGAGCAAACCCCAATTGAAAGACTTTATGATATCATTCGAACTAAACAGAAACTTGTCATACAATTGGACATTTTAATGAATATTTGTTTATTGCAAATAGATTTCTTAGTCATCTAATGTACAATGACAAAATTACTTTGCAAGCATTCTTTGTAATGATCTTAAGGTATTGAGATTAATTCGAGCATGAAACTCATTCTAAGACGATTCCTGCTCTGCATAATCCATACCATACAATATTCTTGATTTCATCACAGAAATCTTCCAACTAACTTTTAGTGCATAAAACTTTTAAGTAATTCATTCTAGCTAATCTTAAAAGAACAAATGGTCAAACACATCTGTTTTAAATATTTTCACAATGCCAATATACCCTGCATTTCCGCTTGCTGTGTATAATAAAGCTATCAATAATGTATACATATTTTATATAGTATATTAATTCCCTATCTGTCGCATTCCCTATATCAACATCCCGTTAGTCTCTGCAGAAAAGGGTATGCGAAAGTAATTATTGGCACATTTATGCAAAGGCTCGCGCTCGTGCTGTGCTCGCACATGATATCTTAAATACATTTAAATATATATGTATATACAGTCATTTATATATAATATAATTGCCAGCTAAATTTATATATAAAATCCCCAGCATACCCTTAAGTTTTAGCTCCAGTCCCCCAACCTCACTGTGCCACGCCCCCTTTTCGGCATCTAATGCCCGTCTAATTGCGTCCGTCCGTCGCTTGGCTAACAAACAGAGCCCAAGCAAAACAAGTAAAAATTGTGGAAATCGCGTTTGACTGACTTCACGATACTCGCGCGATGAAAACTTAAAATATATCATATCTGTAATCAGATAAATATTATTGGATATAGAGGAGTTTTCTATGCAGGAGTTGGAGTTGGAGCAGAAAGAAAAAATTATTATATTATTGGATTTAGACTACTATAGAACAGATCCTAACTCTCTAACTCAAGTTGATTGCACTGGGAGAGTTTCACTGCCTTCACCATAAATAAGTATGTACATATATGTAAAATCTGAGAAAATATAAATAGGATGCCAGCTCTAACTGCTTCTTCCTCTCTGGGACTTATTCCAAGTCCTCTAATACTCAGTCACGGTTCCACATGAACACACAACTAATATACCCTCTTCACTGGGTGAATGGCCATCAGTGAGATGGAAGGTGCTGAGTGAAGGGCGAAGGGTGAAGGGCGTGGCTGGGTATATTGTGACCCAGCACGCCAAAAACATTTGTAAAAAACTTAAAAATTGCAAACACGTCTTCATTGTTTACAAAATGTCGGCCGGAAACTGGGAAAACTGGGGAAACACGGCAAACGGGGAAAATGGGCGCCCATTTTCGATTCCCCATTGTTGCGAGAGCAGCAAAAAAAAGAGAGCAAAATAAAGTTTAAATTTTAATTAAATCATGTTGTACGAAATGATGCACGTGGGAGCAATGGGCACCCGTTGGGGCTGGGGGCGTGTCAGCCACTTGGGCTTACAGTCAATGATGATGGCCGCGATAAGCGCTCCACTGGGTGTGCTCCGAGCTGTAGCCACTGCCACGACTAAGACTCATCGAGGACTTCCACTGAGCTCCTCATGGGCAGAGCGAGAGATTTAATAACGCAACTCCTGCTGTATATATAAATATAAATATAATAAAAATTGGATGCTGCGCCTCCTAAATTATATAATTTGCTCACGCTTTGCTCGTAAAGCGATTACCGAAGATATTTTTATATGCATTTTAGGCGCTGCTCTTAATGGAGCCTACTGAACATTAACTGGGGAGCTTTTCAATATTTGCAGTTGAGCAAAATAGGAAAAGTGAATGAAAAGCTGAGTTTTTCTTAATGAAAATTCAATTGTATTGTAGTCAAGTGAATCATATAAGAGTAACACTTTAATAAAACATTGAAATGAAACACAGAAGTGAGACACTGCAATGGAGCACAGAAAGAAAGCACTGAGTATGAAACACTGGAAAGAAACACAAAGTGAAACATAGGGATGAAACAATAATGGAAGCCTTAATGCAAAGCACTGAAATATAACTCTTAAAGTGATACTCTAACACTGGAATGAAACACTGAAATGAAACACTGTAGTAAAACACTGAAATGAAACATGGACAACTAAAATGAAGCATTGACGTCAAGCACTGAAAGTGATACACTAAAATGAAACAGTGAAATGAAATGTTAGCACTTGAAATACCACAGTGAAACACTAAAATGAAACGCTGAAAAGAAACAGTCAAGTATTGAACTCCCAATCGTCATGTGTATCATTCAATGGCAGCATCTTAAGATGAATGGAATGCTTTTAGTCAGAGTGTATCTTAATACAAAAAAATCTGCATTATTGTTAGACCTTTTTTTCTTTGCCGACTATTTTGATTGATAAATCACTTATAGATAGCTTTTCGCCAGCTTGGCGCATTTTCTTGCTCTCGCTGCATCAATTTGGGCTGCTAATGCGGCTTGGCGCTCACCTTCAGTTCAGTTCGTTTCATTTGATTTCCATTCCGTTTCGTYTCGTTTCAGCTGCAGCGACTACATCGACTCCGACACCAACTCCAACTCCAACCTCGACCCCGACTCCGACTCCGCTGGAAACGCAGTCAACTGTTATAATTTCGTTTAAATCATCTCAAACACCTGCCTCAGCTGAACGCTCAGCCTCGCCCACTGACAGCAGCGCTGCTGGGGAGGCGCTGCTGCAGGGGGACGAGGCTAAGCAGTTGGATGCTGATGCGGCCTCGCTGGTGCCGCCTCCGCCCGGCTATGGCACGCCCACCAATCCGCTGCTATCGAGCAATGTGCTCAAGAAGGTGGCCAGCTTCTCGGTCGAGAGATCGACGTCGACGAGCAGTAGCTGCAATAGCAGCAGCGCGCCTATCGTTCAATCGCCAGCGCTAGCGATGGCCGCGCCAGCGCCAGCGCCATCTGGCGACGAGAGGGAGACAACACTGACAGCAGCGCAGCTGGAGCAGAGCCTTGCTGCCGGCGCAGGGTCGCGGCGCGGCTCGTCTTTTGTGCCGGAAAAGTTAAGCTTCGCTGCATATGAAAAGTTCGAAGGTAAGTCTAGCAAAGTAAACATTTGCCTACCTCTACCCCCCTACCCATGCCCCACGCACTCCCTCACCCCTCTGCACAACTCAAGCGCAGCCCGGGCTGTATGTATATAAATTCTGATGATTTTTGTGCGCTTTGCTGTTTGGCTTTTACGTTGAGCTTGGCAAATTTTTGCGCTACGTTTGATTGCGTTTCGTTGTTTGCCCAAAGTTAACAATTAGTTGCCCTCTCACTCCCACTCCCACTCGCACTCGCCCACTCCCTCTCTCACTCTCACGCACTTCTACTCTGCAATCCCCTGGGAAAACAGAAATCAGTTAACCAATCAGAAGTCAATGCGCCACTTGAGTGAATCATTAGTTGAGTTATTGTAACAAACGGTAAAAATAACAAACCATTACTGGCGCCATCTATGGGTGAACGTTGCTGCGAATTATGTTCATATGCTTTCAACTTAACTTTCAAGTGCTCTTTAAAAGCCACTTAAAGGATAATTTTGTAAATTATTCGCAATTTTTGTAGTTCAGATTGTTTCTGCGCTTCAATGTGGTGTAATTGCACTGAATTGTTAAGCATTTGCTTGAAAAACTGTGTGCTTGCGCATTATTCCCACTCATTTGATGAGATTATTAGTTCGTATTTGTTAAACGGCGCGAAATAATTGAAAAATATTCTCGTAAATATTTTTATTGATATTTAAAAAAAAATAAAAAAGTATTTTACCAACATCCTTCGAGCCGGATTTGAACCAGCGACCTATGGATTTCTACACATTGCATGTCTCTCTACAGTCCACCGCTCTACCAACTGAGCTATCGAAGGTGTATGGGCACTGAGTGGCTTGATTGTCATTATAAGCGAAGTGCTTTTTGCTTTCATTTTATTTAATGATTTTTAAATAACATTTTATGTGCTTCAACATCAAAATCATTTTCTGTCTCTTTCTAACTAAAGTGATGCATAAATAAATTCATTGACAAGCAGCTTTATCAATGAAACGAAAAAAGCAAGGCAAATATAAAGTAAATGTATAAATAGCTGATGGAAAAGTAAAGTGAACAATATAAAAATTTATAATGCACTTAAAATTGAATAACTAAGCAGAAATTATAAATAATAAAAATATATAATTATTATCAATAATTAAGTTAACAATAAAATAAATAATAGTAAAACTTCATAAACTAATAAAATAAATAATTAAATATTGTTAATAAATTTATAAATAAAATGTAATACATTTAGATTTAAAAATATGTTTAAATCTGCACATATTATTTATTTATTTATATATTTCAATACGTACAAAACTTGTTATTATACATATATTCATAAAATTGTTTATATCACATGAAATATGTTAATCTCATAATTTTGTTGACATTTTTGCAAAATTTCAAGCATTTTCTTTCCTCACTTCAAATGCCTTTCTATTTGCCTCACATTTTCGTCAAGTTCGCCGCCATTTGTTCCACTCTTCATTTATTTCAAGAATTTGTTTGACTTCTATTTACGTTTATTTTGGCCGTAAGTTCTCGCTGCTTGGCTGCGGCTGACAGCGCTTATAACTTACGGCTATGCAAATTCTTTGAGCTGCGCGCCCACGTTCTGCCCACGTTCGGCCCCTCGGGCATAACATTTTGTCCGTCGCCACGCCCACTGGCCACCGCCCCAAACCTAGTCGATTGTCGCGTATTTGATTAAAATTTTCAGATTTTGTTGCATTCTTTTGGGCGGTGGCTTTAAAATCGAATTTCCCTAGTCATTTTGGAACGTGCAGCAACGGGCGTCTGCCACGCCCATTTCGCCAAATAGTTAACGGAATTTTTGTGGCCCGTTAGGCGTCAGTTTTTGTTATTGCGCGTGTGGCACACTAATTGGTTGCAAGTTGCTGGCCGTCCCCTGCTGCTGCTCCTCCTCGTACTCCTGCTGCTGCTGCTGTTTGCCACTGCAGCTTGCCACATCACGAGTCGCATCAACGTCTGCCGCAAATTAATGCAAACAAACATTTTAACGCCTCGCTGCACAAACAACAAAAGCGTTCCGGCTTTGCCTTTGCCTCTGCCTTTGCCTCTGCCTCTGCCGCTGCCGCTGCCGCTGCCTCTGGCTCGTCTCTCGTTGCATTGAAATCCAACGCAATTTGCTGTCCTTCGCATCTTTGAGCTGCCAGCTACTTGCTCCTCTTGCGACTCCTGCTGCTGCTGCTCCTCCCGCTTGTCAGTTTGTCTGAAGTGGCCATCAATTCTTCCCTTGCTGTCGTTTTTGTCGCGGCCACCGCCGCCGTCGTCGCCCCCTCCCAAAAATCTGATTTATATGCCCGGCAACGTCACGTTTGCCACCAAAAGCAGCTGCCGCTGGCGCTGCTCCTGTTCCTCCTGCTGCAACTAGCGAATAGTGACTGCTATTCGCAACCGCATCCGCAACCACGTCCGCACCCGCACCCGCACCTACATCCGCATCCGTATCCGGTGGCCCCTCAACAATGTTTGGGCAGCGCGTAATGAAACAATATTTTGGTAGACGGATATAGCGCTCTCAAGTTGGCTGGTTTCGGCTTAAGCGAATGAAGGGCTAGAGATGCGGTTGCAGCTGCTTGATGGATACCCTGTAACCTGTATATATACTGTATATGTAGGGCAGGCTGAACTTGTGTCAAAGTTAAGACAATATATGAAAATCTAATGAAAATATAATTGATAAATCTCAATAATCGATGCAATGAAGCTTGCCTATTATATATCGATAATTATCGATGCTTAGAAAAGCTGAGGACAGTATAAATTTATTTTTTTATTTTCAGATATATCACATATCGTATAGGATACATAAGCTCAATTATTTCTTATCATTCATCCTTACCTATAAAGTGTCGTAGTCCTATCATTTTTACATACATCGATATATATCGATAATCACTTTGGCTTCGTTTCTTAGCGTTTCAATTATCTATTTGTATTGAAATAGCTATTGAGCCAACACTTTTTCCCAGGGTATCTTCTAGTCAAGCTGCTGCTTTGCATGCTGTTGTTTCGCTCTTGCTCTTGCCAGCGCTTTGTGGTCTCCTGTGAGCAACGTTTCATTTTCAGCGCTTTGTTGTCCGTTGTTTGGGGCGAAAGTGTTTGGGCTGTCTGCGTTCGAATTGCAACGTTAGCGCCAGCGTCGCAGTCGCAGTTGCCGTTGACGTCGCTGTCGACGTGGACGCGTTTGTCCGTTGATGAATGCAGCGCATGCATGCGTGCAGCGTCACGCCTCCCCTACCAGCCGCAATCATGGCACGCCCCCTGCACTCGCTGTCCACTTGGCCGGGACGAACGAAGCAGTTATGCAAATTTGTTGGCCAACGCTTTACGCGGTTTCATCAAAAGTTGCCAAACGTTAGCGACGACACATCTACCCCATGGCAAAGCCCCATCCTTCACCCTCTGGCCACTGAGGTCTACCTTGTGCCCCGACCCTCCTGGACTTCCCTCGCCTCGACACGCATATCATTGGCGTCCGCTTATCAGTTTTGATTACATGAGCCTAATGATCAGTGTACGGGTTTTCCAGGGCTTTGATGACGGTTTTGTGTTTGGATTTATTGCGCTTTGATTGGAGCTGCGGCGTAAAAATAGTTTCGCCTGGAACTAGTTCACGAGAAGATCACTAGCAGTAAAAATAGAATAGTGAATATTCCAAATTTATGAACTAGTTCTATCAAGTAACAGGTTATTTGTTGATATTCTTATTGACTGTAAATGCTTTGTTAATGTTAAAGATAACGATAAGGTTGATATAGTTCAGCCTAGTAACAATCAAATGAAATTAAGAAAGAACTAGCTCTTAAAAATAGTTGCAATTTTTAAGAATATGTAAAGAAAGTATTGAGACATAATTAACTTATATTAAATGAACCAATGAACTAGTTAATTCAAGCAGTTTATTTTTGAGTAATTTATTTTGCAATTTAATAAAAATAAAATATATTATAAATATAAACAAATTAACTGATGTTCGAGTTCATACAACTAGCTCCTATTGAATTTAAAAAAATATAATCTCAAAAAAAAAAAAATTTGGTAGCTCATTAAAAAATTAAATGAATTTGTACATAAAACTTGTTCCAAATATATTTTTAGCTAAATCATCGTCATTTGTCTTGGGCCATTTTGATAAGGATGTGATTTTGCACTTATCTTTGACATTCACGCTTAGTGTAGATTCTCTCTTTGCCCTTTTCTCTCATCGGCTCTTTAATCGTATCGACTAGCGTAGTATCTGGACTGTTATATCAATTATGCTATCAGTTGCAATAAGTTAACTTTTACGGTCTTCATAATCGCTAAACACTTCAAAATGGCGGGGATATTAACTGATTAATCAGAAGTCAAAATATCGTAAACCATTTCAATTGATTTACAACGCATTTTTTAATCGAACTCTTTTAGTTTGTGCGAATTTAGAAAGCAGAAAAGTAGACCAAATCATTGAATATTATTGATTTCATTATCGAAGAGAGTTGTCTTAGATTAGCATTCACATATTTACGTGGGCCCAGAGTTCATTTGTGAATGAGTCAGTTCTATGAACAAACTCTGACGCATTTTCTTTGAGGTCTGGACGAAATTGCAAATCAATAAAAGAAATGACCCACAAATTTAGGCACATGATTCATTGGTCTAAGAAAATGGGCTAGGTAGATATTCTGTATTTATTTATTATTTTTTACTTGTCAATCGATATATATCGGTTTCAAATGAATGTAAGTTTGATATGTATGTGATCTGAGTTGTCAGCTACTCAGTCGATCAGAAATAGTAGAAAACTTGGAAAATTTGATTCTACTACCAGTCGATATATATCGATTAATCCCAATTCTGCCGAGGTTTGTATGTAATGATAATATCTGACCTGTCAGCATATGGGATGAAGTAGGAGTGGTTGGCAATAAACTATGCTAGATTCAATGGCCAATCGATATATATCGATGTTGCATTGTATTTACGCCTGGTGCCATTGCCAGTCGAGATACATCGATTTGAAGTAGATGTAGACTAGCATATATACCTCTCGTAATACTTGAAAGCAAACACTTTTCAAAACTACAGGGTATAGAGTATAGAAAATAGAGTCCCAAACTTGCAGTTGTTGTTATCAGACCGTGACTGATAAGCGAGCGACCTTGCCAGGGCGTTCGGCAACTGCACTTCCCTAGCCGCTATATACGATTCCCTCAGGTCTAGCGGCACAGAAATATATTGTAGGCAGCGCAACGAAGGGTGTCACACAGCAGCTGTCACTTATCAACCACGAACACAAACCGAAGCTCGAGCGTTGACTCGCACAACTTGTTGTTGATAATATTTGATAAGTGTCGACACTTTTAATTTTGTCCGGGCGCAAAGTAGTGAATGACTAAATTAGGAGCTCAGCACTCAGCACTCGGTAGTCGACAGTCAACAGCGCGCTTCAGTTGCAAATAGTTTCGAGTTCTTTCTCCCTCTCCCTCCCTCTCTCTCTCTCCCTGAGCAGAAGCATGTCCAGCAGCCCRGGCATAAAGCCGGGTTTGAGCAACGTCTGGTGTCCGCTGCTAGCCACACATGTTCCACAGTTGGAGCAGCAGCAGCAGCAGGAGTCGCCACCTCCACCGGAGTATCACGTGCCAATTAGTCTGCCAGATTGTGGCATTATGTGGCATCAGCCGGATGAAGAAGAAGCGTTCAGCTCTGAACAGGCAGCGCCCGCCCATTATCTGCAGCTAATGTCAATGGCGGGCAAGCGCGTGCAGCTCGCACGCTCTAAGCCCCAGCCCCAGCCAACACCTGGTGTCGCCCTCTATCGGCCAGAGGCAGCGGCGACGTCCGCCGCTAAGGCTGCGGCGGCTCCCTGCCAAAGTCGTTCGCTTAGCATTAGTGTTCACATTGTCAGCGTTCGGTTTGACCCACACGCGCTCTATCCTCAGCTGGCGGAGGCGCGGCCTCTGCCCCTGCCAGTTCCAGTAGCAGTTCCCGCTAACGTTCCCGTTCCTGTTCCCGCTCCTAATAGCGCTCTCTCTTCAGCTACACGCGCTTACTGCCAGCGTAAGTTTTATTTGTGCTACACTCAACAACATAATTGGGGTATGTGAATTATGCTGCGGAGCTTGTGATTGAAAAATTGGGAGGTTGTGTTAAGAATCATATATACAAGAGAATTTGTTGAACTCTTCGGCTCTTGAATTATCGCAACTATTTATTATTCATTTGTTAGCTATTCTCTGTATCAAAGTGAATCAAAAGTTGATTCATTTCGTTCTTTCAGAAGTAAATATGATTTATACCTGCTTATCAATTTATTCGCACATTTTGATTATTTTATAGTTCTCAAAATTTGATAGACCTAAGAGAAGGAGTTTGAAAATTATTTTAAAAATAATTTCAAAATGGAAATATTTAAAATTAGGTTATATTTACCTTAAAGTCCGTTATATGCCGTTATATTTATATAATATTGTGTAATATGATTGATCAGCTGATTGTGGAGTAAGACAGATCTTATCTGATTGAAGCCTTCAATATATCAATATATCAACTGGCTGACATTCAAAAACTTCTATTAAATCCAAACTAATATACTTACTTAACTTTATATATAATATAATATAATAAAATTATATTACCTACGGCCATTTCTTTGCTTCCCTATCAATTGTCGCACGTTCGCATCGAGGAAGCGATAAGAAAATGTAGAGTATTTGCTGGCTGGAAGTATTTTATGTCTTGGCCAAGTTAATTTTTGTTCCGTTTGGCCATTTCTTTGCACAATGCTTAAACTTATTTATGCCTAATATTTTTGGTAGCCAACACGTCTGCAAGCAAACCTCCCAGTCCAACCCAACCCAGCCACGCACTCGCACACCCTCCTCTAGGCTGACCCTCTTCGTCTTCCTCTTTCTCTTCCTCTTCTTTTTTCGACTTTTTCTGCTAACGCACACACGCATAAATCATTGTGTCTCGGCCTCAACATGGGGCTTCGAGCCGCAGCTGTGTACAAAGTTTATATGGGGAGCTCCTGTCCCCGCCCCCGCCCCCGCCTCCCTGGGCGCTGATAGTACGCACAATAGACCGAGTCAAGTCTTTGACTCCCACAAATTTCGAACTTAATCAGTTTAGCGTCCATTGTATTAAATTATTTTGTGTAACATGGAAAATAAATACATATACATACATAAACGAAATGAATAAAGGAGAACAGCTCAAAGAATACCTGCGGGATGAAGCTGCCAAATTCAAGCAATATTATTTTAATTTATTTTTCATGTCTTTAGAGAAGCGGAAAAATGTGTATAAAATATATGAATTTTGATATACTAGATACAGATATTAATATATAATAAAAAAAAAACAAGGATAATTGTTTTCTTAGACGTCAATTGTAATGAATATTAATATAATTTTATATATTTGATATATATAAAACATGATCAATCAATATAACTGAAATCTGTAGTTTAAATATTACCTATACAAAAATCCAGGAAAATCAGAAGCCTTAAATCTTATTTGTATCAGATATGAAATCTTTTATTTGAAGTAATTATCTCTATTTTCCTCAAATTCCTCTTTGAGTTAAGAATCGTATTTATCATGAATAAATAACCGCATTAAAGCATAGCCGCATTACTAGAGGATCTCTATCCTGTATCTCTATTCTGGGATTCTTGATCTATGACGATACAGTTTTATCCGATTCGCCAGGCCGTCAATCTTTGCTTGCTTACAAGCAATATTCTAGAGTATAATTTAGGCAGATATCTGACGTAGAGACATACATATAAGTAAAAGTAAAAAGTCTTTTGCTATCTTTAATTAGATTATATATTTAAAAGCTTCCCTCTCCCTTTGTCTCGTTGCAGGTCAAATGCTGATCAAATGGCTAATATCAACGCTGCAGAGCAGCGCCGCCTTGGGCACTTTGGGCCAGGAATCTCTGAATGCGATGACGCTGCAGTTCTGTCAAAATCTCAAATATGTGGGCGTATTGAAGCAGATCTCCAATGAGCAGCAGCAGCAGCAGGATGCGCCGTCCGGCTTCAGCGTAAGTTCAATGAACCCAAATTGTTCTCCCTCTCACTCGCTCTCTCTGTATCTGTATCTGGCTAAACGGGAAATTGGTCAGCGAACGGAAGTTGTCACGCCGTGCTAACGGAAATGGATAGACAGCCTCCATGACCCCTCCACGCCCACGCCGCCTCCATTGCTTGTGTAACTTTGTTGGTTCAAGTCATTAGCTATTGATAAGCTATGAGGCAGCAGCTCAAGTTGAGCCAACTGCTCTCTGGCTGCCTCCCATCTCCCACACTCTCTCTCTCCTACACTTTCGCCACTCCCCACTTTGTTCTCTTATGCATATTCTAAAAATTCTTTGCCTTTAAACTTGACTACAAAAATGAGCCGCAAAGTTGTGCCCGGAAATTAGCAATTCCATTGCCAGTGCGAATCGCAGTGCACTTTCATTCTAGCCTTTTGCCTAGCTCTACATGTCAGCTGCAACAGCAGCTGCTCCTGCTGCTGCTGCACCCTCAACATCTTCCCACTACCCCCTCACCTGTCGCTCCAGCTGTGCCTCGAGCCCTGCCCCCAGTGCCGCCAGCCCCTGCCACTGACGAGCCTGCAAGTGTCAGAACTTGTTAAAACTTTGCCGTCAACTTTTCAGCTCTCAATCTCTTCCGTCTCGCTCGCTCGCACTCTCTCTCTCTCTCTCTCTCTCTCTCTCTCTCTTTCTTTTTTAACTGGCCAGCAGCACAGCGGAGTTTTCTAGCCTTTTTACACACTATTTAGGAAAAGAGAGCATATAGCCATTATTATATTGAATTTGAATCTTTAAGTAGATATATACAGATGCATAAGTATAGTATAGAAACTGTAGAAAATCTATAGGTGATGTTATTTGTAGACTTAGGCTGACTAATAATTCCTTAAATCGAACATCATTTGCTACTAGGATAACAGTTTGTATAACAGTTCGTATAACAGCTCGTATAACAGTTCGTATAACACTTTGCATAACATTAACCCGATATAATCATTTCAAGCAAATCGCAATAATGTTTAGCTAGCTGTTTTAGCTAGTATAACAATTCGTATAACAGATTGTTTAACACTTCGTGCAACATTTTAAACATTAGAAAGCTTTCAGCCAAACAACAAAAATGCTTTAACAAAGTAACTAAGCTTTGCGAATGATACGATAACAGCAAAGTATATAATTAGTAATATAGAGATAAATGATCTATAATAATGTAATGCATCTGACGGATCAGTAAAATCATCTTAGGCCAAATAAATATTGAAACTAATGCAAAAGGCTAAAGCCTTAAAGCTGAAGAAAATGTCAGCCAAAGATGAGGCGGGTTAATCCTTGACTATCTATATATATATATCTATATATTTTAATATACCTGCCTTGCTCTAAAACTTTAGAGCTTCGCCATTTAGCAGCAATTTCTCTCTCTCTCTCTCTCTCTCTCTCTCTCTCTTTGTCTCTCGAAACAGAGTATTCCGTCTATCACTAAGCTCAAGCAAACAAAAATCAACAACTTTGAGTTCCTCTTGTTGCTTTGCTAAATTATGAAATCCAACGAGTTGACTGAACTCGGTGCTAGGCGTGGGCAGGCGTAGGCGTTTTAGGGGCGTGTCCTGCAATTGCAGCTGTGCGTTTGCTTCACGCTAAGCGTGCGGCTGACTAATGGACTATGTAATACGTTTGCTTTTTTCGGCCGACGCTTAAAAGCTTTAATTGCTGGTTAACCGAAGGGACACGCCCACAGCTTGAAACACCCACAGATGCAAAGAAAAAATGTCTAATGGAAAGAGAGAAGCAGAGAGAGGGGGAAGGGTGGAGAGGGAGAATTATACTAACAACTAATCAAGCACTCGTCCGTGTGCTTCAAAAATTAGTTTAGGCTAAAAACAAGGAAAAAGCAACAAAAACAAGAAAAAGTTTTAGCCACAGCAGCTTAACCTCAAAATCCCTCAAAGCAGTCTGGAGGGAGGGGGGAGGCAGACGGACAACAACAGCGTTAAGTGATTTTCTATGTGATGATACTTGAGCTCCACAGATTATGATATCACGAATTTCCTTGCGCCGCATGTCCGGGCGTGTCCTGGCGTGTATCCCGGCGTGTCCAGTGTCCTGCGTGTCCGTTGTCAATGCGCGCGTCATCAAGTTTTTGGGCAACAGGCCAGAAACAGCTTCCCAGCTTAAGCTAGATTTTTGTTTAACTTCCTCTCTCCCTCTCTCTCACTCTCTTTGCCCCTTCTCTCTCTCTCTCTCAGCCCCTCGCCATTGCAGCTCATTGAAAGTTTCGTGCGTTTTTATTACTTTGTGGCAAGTTCGGCGTTTATTATTCTTTTGTGTGTGTGGCGCATCGCCAAGTGGCACGAGGCACGAGGCAGGCGGCACGGGGCAGGCGGCAACTTGAGCTGCCCCTGCGGCACTTTTAAGCGCAGCCAAACGTAAATAGTTTGCATTACAGGGTATTAGCTGTGATGTGCTCCGCCTCAGGGAGCAACCAACTTGATAACTGATTAGAAAACTCATTTAGAGATTTGCCTGGGACTTTGCCTTTTGCTTGACAGACTTCAGCATAAACATTATTCAATTTAAAGCAAGTTTATGCATTTTTATGACAGCAGCCCATTTAGGATGAGAATTTAAGGAAGAATTGATTGGCTTTTCGAAAGTGTATAAGTGCATAAGGGGGCGTGGCAGAAGCCCGAGAGTATGAGGAAGTCGGTCTAATCGGTCGGTCTAAATTTGATCTAGTCATGTTCGTCTGTCCTACATCCGTATGCCTGTCCATCTGTCTGTTCTTACGTCCGTCTAACCCTCTGTCCGTATATTCGTCCATTTGTCTGCCCTTCGTCCGTCTGTCCCTACGTCCGTCTGATCCTCCGTCCATCTGTCTGTCGCCGTCCGTATCTCTCCCGTCTCCTGCTCGTTCGTTGGTCCGTCCATCTGTCTGGCTGTCTATTCCACCTGCCGTCATCCGCTAATCATCCGTCCGTCTGTCTGCCCGCCTATTCTTCTGTTCTTCCCTCGGTACATACCTGCGTACGTCCTTTTTTCTCCCTTCAGAGTAGCTCTCTGTCCGATGGTTTCCTTAGTTGTTCGTTCACTTAACTGTATATTTGTCTATCTGTCATCTATCTGTCAATCCGTCTATTTGTTCATTTGTCCGTCCATCCAGCTGTATGAACTCAAAGATCTCCCAAGCTTGGCATGCCTATAGTTTCTCCAAATCTTCTTCAAGAGCATCCGAACTGAAGGTTTATCCTCCATCTCTGTCTTGTTCTCTTATGCTAAAGTCGAGATATATTAAACCAGATTTAAATTGTGTAAAAATAAAACAAAATTTACCAGCAAAGCATCAACTCCTTTGAGTGCCGGCCAAGTCTGGGGCTGCGCGGCGTCGCACCAAACACTTGGCTTAATGCCACGAAATGCAATTAAAAATTGAAATTCAATTATGTGGCGTCATTTCACAGTCACAGTCACACAAACACGCACACGCGCACACTCACACACACACACTCGTACAGCCACTCACACACTCAGTTGCACACAATCTCCGCTAATCATTCGGAGCTGATGGGGCAACCAATTGGGATGACGAATGCATGCAAAGTGCCGCAGCTGAAGCTGAACTTGCCCTTGCCTCTCTTTCTCTCTCTCACTCTCTTTCTCACTCTGGCTCTCTCTCTCTCTCTCCCTCCCTCTGTGGGCGCAGCGCCGTGGTCACGTTATCGCACTTGACGCCATTTGCTCAAGTGTTTGCACTTTGGCGGTGCCAAACAATTTGCATGCGGCTGTCGCATTTCAGGCCAATCCCCCATCCCCTCACCTAAGCCCAATCCCAGTCCAAATCCCAATCCCAAACCCAATCCCTGTTCAACTTTGCTCGCTGCTTCAGAGCTCTCCAGAGCTCTCTTCGCTGCTGGCAACAATTCTAATCTCAAGCTAAAACCCAACTGAAAATCTCACGCATGACAATGCGAAATAGCTAAAAGATGCAAAAAGTGTAGCAATAAAACAGAGGCGAATGCATAACAAAACGATGTGAGGCAACAACGAATTTCGAATACGCTATAATAATTCAATATTGAGAGCAGTTTGAAATGCAACGAAAATTCGTTAAAGCTCTTCTATTTTTAGGCAAAAACTTTCCAAATTCTTTTCTCTATATTTTGGAATAAACAATAATCAATGGATGTTCAGAAAATCTAAAATTGAATATACTTAGACCACGAAAGGACAGAAGAATCAGATCTCATATATATGAATGTCTTTCATCTATGTGTCTTCACAGTATTAGACTTTATATATTATTCTACAAAGATTTGATCATATTTCGCTCAATACAACTCGATTTAAATATAATAATTAATATGACATCATTTTTCAAAAAGTTACAAAATATTTTTCATATTCACAGAATTTTGTATATTTTTAAATAGTCGAAACATTGTTCATTCACACATTTCTTGCTTTGGCTTTTACATTTTTATAATTTGTATAAATTTATTGCTTTGCCTGCAAAGCACGTCATGAAAAATCAAGATATAATTATTTTATATATTTAAGAAAATCGACAAAAGATTTTATTTATATTTATTTATTAACGTATATCGAATCAGATTAAGACAAAGCTGCTCGCAAAACAGAAAGTATTAACGTTCTTGACAGCAAATTTTGTGAGCAAGATAAAGTATTTGCCAGCCAGTTGGCCGCCAGCTAGCCAGGCAAGGCCAAGCGACTCGAGCGAACTGAACTGCATTGCAGAGTTATTTGAAAAGGTATAAAAACTGTCAACCTGTGGTCCCAACAGACCCAAGTGGGCGTATGGCAGCGAAGGGGGTTTGTGGGGCGTGGGGCGTGGCAACACAATGACATGTGCACAAATTTTGAAGAGATGAGCTTTAGACACTTCAACACTGCAAATGTGTGTGACTAGAGCTAGAGTGGGGGTAGCTGGCTTTTAAGCTCTTGAGAGGCAGATGAAAAAAGTAGAGAAAGAGAAGGAGAGAGAGAGAGAGAGAGGGAGAGAGAGGGAGCTGCACTCGAGCTGCAATTAGAAGTCAATGGGCTAATGCAAGATGATCTGCTTTTTGCCAGCTTTTTTACGCTTATTTATATTCCGAGTTTTCATCTTTGTTTTTCTCTGTGTGTGCAGCCCTACGAGATGTACCAGTGGACGCATACGGAGCAGCCCACCACCTCGCTGCCGCTCACACCTGGCAAGCTGGACAAGGTGACCGCCTGGCCCTTCTCGAGCACACCCTCCGTGCAGAAGGGGCACTTCGAGGGCAGCTCGGCGCAAACGGACAGCCAGAAGACGCTGCAGCAGATCCTGCGCAAGCGTCTGCTCAACTGCGCCACCCTGGCCGAGGTGCATGCGGTGGTCAACGAGCTGCTGAGCAGCGTCGATGAGCCGCCGCGGCGACCCTCCAAGCGCTGCATCAACCTGACCGAGCTGCTCAATGCCAGCGAGGCGACCATCTACGAGTACAACAGGCCCGCGGAGAGCAAGAGCTATGCGGATGCGGGCAGCCAGACGGAGGGGGAACTGACCTGTCAGGGCTCGTGCAAGTGTGGGGGAATCTCTGCAGGAGCAGCCACAGGTGCAGCAGAGGCAACAACAGCTGCACCACCACCGCCGCCGCCTCCGCCACCACCGCCGCCTCCTCCTCCGCCTGGCAATGCAGGTGGCGCTGCACCACCGCCACCGCCGCCTCCACCGCCAGGCAGTGCTGGTCCGCCGCCACCACCACCACCAGGTGCACCTTGCCCCGGCAATATGCCGCCTCCTCCTCCACCCTTAAGCACGTCCAAGTCGGGCTCCTCGCTGGCGCCTGCACCACTGCCAGATCCCGCCGAGGGAAATTGGTTCCTACGCACATGCGGTAAGTAGTCCAGCATACTCAACCGCCAAATGGAATCTCTAATTAGCCCTTTAACCCTATCCAGTTCAGCGCAAGAGCGCCGTCAATCCGCCCAAGCCGATGCGTCCCCTGTATTGGACGCGAATCGTTACCTCTGCTCCGCCCGTGCCGCGTCCACCGTCGGTGGCCAATTCGACGGATAGTGCGGATAACAGCACTAGTTCGCCGGAGGATTTGCCAGTGCCAGCTGCTCTGCCGCCAGTTCCTCCACCCTGCAAGGAGATATGGACGGAGATTGATGAGACGCCGCTGGACAATATAGACGAGTTTACGGAGCTCTTCTCGCGGCAAGCCATTGCGCCAGTCAGCAAGCCCAAGGAGCTGAAGCCGAAGCGTGAGAAGTCCATCAAGGTGCTCGACCCGAAGCGCTCGCGCAATGTGGGCATCTTCTCGAGAAGCCTACACGTGCCCGCCAGTGAGATAGAGCACGCCATTTACCATGTGGACACGTCAGTGATTAGCCTGGAGACGCTGCAGCAGATCAGCTTCATGCGCGCCACGGATGAGGAGCTGCAGCGCATCCGGGAGGCCGATGGCGGCGATATACCACTCGATCATCCGGAGCAGTTCCTGCGCGACATATCGCTCATATCCATGGCCAGCGAGCGCATCTCGTGCATTGTCTTCCAGGCGGAGTTTGAGGAGTCTGTCACGCTGCTCGTGCGCAAGCTGGAGACGGTGTCCCAGCTCTCCCAGCAGCTGATCGAGAGCGAGGATCTCAAGCTGGTCTTTTCCATAATTTTAACGCTGGGCAACTATATGAACGGGGGCAATCGACAGCGTGGCCAGGCGGATGGCTTCAATCTGGACATTCTGGGCAAGCTCAAGGATGTCAAGTCCAAGGAATCGCACACGACCCTCCTGCATTTCATTGTGCGCACCTACATTGCTCAGCGACGCAAGGAGATGACCCTGCACGAGATAACGCTGCCCATACCCGAGCCCTCGGATGTGGAGCGAGCTGCCCAGCTGGACTTTGACGAGGTGCAGCAGCAAATCAACGATCTAAACAGAAAGCTAACGGGTGAGTTGAATACGGATTCCAGGAATATCTACGGCAACTAATTCGGAGTCTACTCCTCCTTCTCCTGCTCCTTGCAGCTTGTAAACAGACTACGGCCTTGGTGCTGAGCGCATCCAGTGAACATCGCGAGCCTTTCAAGTCCAAAATGGAGGAGTTTACGGCCAGCGCCGAGAAGTCAGTTGCCAAGCTTCATCAGCTGATTCAGGAGTGCCGGGAACTCTTCCTGGAAACCATGCGCTTCTACCACTTCTCTCCCAAGGGCTGCACCCTGACCTTGTCTCAATGCACGCCCGACCAGTTCTTTGGTTATTGGACGAATTTTACCAATGATTTTAAGGATATATGGAAAAAAGAGATTACTATTCTCAAAAACGAAATGTAAGTTAATTACGACAATACTGTGTGAGATACGCAGCTAACGGAATTTTGCATTTTCTTTTCCGTCTATTTTTAGTATCAAAAAGCCGAAGCAATTGGCGGTGGAAAATCGCCGCGATAGCTCCACTAGGGATCGCACTTCGTGCAAAGCTCGCGTGAGACGCAGCAAAAACTAGTTGTTAGTCCAAAATTAGCCGTACATTTCGTTTAAGCTTAACAATAAACAAATCAGAAAACTCCTCGCACCATTCAAAACTAATCAACATCTATTAAATTTTAAATTTTACCCACAATATGAGAAAATACCAAAAATACTAGCGCCAAAATTATAAGAAATTTTGCAACACAGAAGCGCTAAAACGATAGCCGTTTGCTAAGTTATCTAAATTGAAGTTATCGCCGGCCGCCACAGCCGGTGCACAACGAGTCAACAATAACAGCAACTAAGTTATCTAAATTGGAGCTATCGGGCGACCACCACCACCATCGCCAACACATTTTAACGCTCGACCAAATTGAGTAAACAAAAATCTGGCGCTCCGTAGAAGAAATTCAGCTATATTCCAAGCATGTCACATCCAAACACAACGCGGCGCAAACATGTGCTCAAGGAGATGATGGAGGACGACTACTCCCTGCCCACGGAACAGCAGCAGATCGTGCGTGTTGTCAGCAGCCGAGGCAACAATCTGCACGAGGTGGAATCGGCGACAGCTGAGAATTTTCTGGGTGAGATCAGGACTAACCATTTATAGATATGCTCTTTGATGCTATTATCGATTATATCCCTCGCAGTCTCTATGCCCAACAAATTTCGCAAGAATGTGTGGGTAAAGCGCGGCGATTACATATTGGTCGAACCGATTGAGGAGGGCGACAAAGTAAAGGCGGAAATAAACAAAATCCTAACTCCGGAGCATATCAAAGAATTCACAAAGGCGGGCATATGGCCGGAACTCTTTGCCAAGAAGCCGGCGACGCCAAGCAGCAAAGCCGAACATTCCGGCGCTTCTGGTTCCGATAGCGATGATTCGCTGCCGCCCAACACAAATCGACCCGCGAATATGGATGACGACGACGAGGATACGGAGGAGAGCAGCGCCGAAGACTGAAGAATGAATTTGGATTATGCATTTGATTGTGCATTACAAAAAGTTTAGCTAATGTATATTTTATAACGAATTATTTTCCTCTCGCAATTGTTGTAACAACAAATTAAATTATGTACGTACATAAAAGATATAAAAAAAAGTGAGTAAGAAAACTAGTAACAGAATATATGTATAATGATAAGCGTTCCCTGTGTATGAACGTAAAAAAAAGTATAAAATAAATTAAGGAAACTAGTAAACAAATAAATTGGTTTACTATACGTACGTACATAGGCCCAAAAAAATTAAATAAAAAATAATATACATAAATTGTTTGCTTTAATTGTTGTTACGTTTGCTGCGGCTGCGTCCACTGCGATGCTTGCAAAAAGCTAAAAAGCTAGAGATCTCTGTGCCGTATAAAGCGTGCGAAGTGGGTTGCTCTCCAGCAGTCCAACTCCTACTCCTCCGACTCCTGTGCATCACATATTTCAATGTTCTCTTTCTGTTCCTCGTCCTCAGTCTCTTCCGGCTTTGTCGGCGGCTGATGCTGCGGCTGTTGCTGCGGTTGCGGCTGCGGCTGCACTGCATCATGCTTGGACTCCAGCGCCAATGTCGATGGCCGCGGCTTAGTAAACGGAAAATTGCTGAGATCCTCGAACTGCGGCGTGTGCACAGCAATCAAATCCGTTTGCGTGGAGCTCGTATCACGTGGCTCAAAGCTGGTATATTCGATGTCGTCGCTGTCGGAGCAGTTGCTTCTGTTGCTGACGTGCTTCTTCAGCGCATCCTGCGGCAAATTGCAGACCATGGTCAGGCAATTGACAATCGTGCCGATCGAGCTCTGCAGCTGTTGCACCTGATCGGTAAGCATTGTGCAACGCTTAGCCAGGTCATTGACAACAGCGGCCGAGTTCTGATCGAGGCACACTTGTGACTGATTGCTGTTGCTGTTGTTGCTGCTGCTCGCATCCTCCGAGTTCGTGCAGTGCTCGCCGCCAGCCTTCGGGTCCACCTGCATGGTGGACACCTTCTTCCACAGCGCATTGATGGCCTGCATTTGCAGCTGTTGTATCTTGCGCTCGTTCTGCAGCTGCACCTTGGTCATTATCATGTCCTTGTTGAGTTTGCTATGGAGAGACACAGAGAGAGATAGACAGAGGGGAATGTGTATATAGATATATCGAAGCTTACTCGATGTATTCGTGCGTGCGCTGTTTGTGCAGTTTCTCGGCAATGTCCTTGGTTTTCTTGCGCGTGTGATAGCCCCGCCACATCTTCTGTATGGTCACAGCCGAGGACTCAGTCACGTGCTCTATCAGGCGATCGGCGCAGTTCAAGTTGTTGTCCAGCTGCTGYTGCTGCTGCGCCCGCTCAGCTGCCATTTTGCGTATGGTCCTTAGCTTCTCCACGTTGATGAGCTCGCCATCCTCATCAGTGCTGAAGCCGCCGCCGTCAGTTATGCTGATTGAAGACGAATTCAGTTGCTGCTGCTGCTGCTGCTGTTGTTGTTGTTGCTGCTGTTGCTGCTGTACTCGTTCCGTCTTGCGTGGACTGCTTGTGGGGCTCTGCATGCGTCGCTGTTGTGGACTGCGCACGCGCGGCAAATTTAGTTTGTTGTCTGACATTGAGTACATGTTGAAATAGAAATTTGAAATACATTTGAATCGAGGAGAGAGAGAGAGAGAGAGAGAGAGCTAGACTCGTCTACCTTTGTTCTTGTTGCCTTTGCTCTTGTGCAGCTGCGCGTTGAGCGCTGTCACTGTGGCTCGCTGAGCAACGACGGCGGGACAGACGTCGGGACTCATCAGGGTCTCCGGCACAGGCACCATTTTAGAGGCAGCAGCCAATGGCCCGCCGACAGGCGTTTGACCCACATACGCTTGCTCTGCAATGCAATGGGAGAGGAGCAACAATTAGAGCTGGACGAGATTGGGAGTGCGAGGTGCGAGGTGCGAGGTACTACCATTGTAGGGATTCGGCGTTATGTTGCGAGGCGTTGACTCTGTCGAGTTGTAGGTCTTGGTGGTCACGCTGCTGGACATGCCGGAGAGGCTGGCCAGCGAGTAGTTGTCGCCCTCATTGCGGATGTTCTCTATCAGCGAGGTGCTCATCTGCAGCGAGTGATGGCTCGAGATGCCGTTGTCGCTGCTGATGCTGTTGTTGCAGCTGTTGCCATGGTAGCTGTTCGCCATGGACTCCGGCGAGCCTTGGCGTCCGCTCAAACGGGAAACTATGGGGGGTGCATCAATTACAAATTAGTTAACAAATGGAATATTTATCAAGAGCTCACAGCGCGGTGACTGGATGCGACTTGTAGGCTTCTTGCGATGCGACGAGGGCGATGTGCTAGCCGAACTCGCATTTGCATTGTCCATTATTTCCTCCTGCAGCTGACGCTGATGATGCTGCGCTTTGCTTAAGATCAAGCGCAACTTACGATCGTTTTCCTTCTCCAGTGCCTTGCCCACCAGTGGGCAGGCCGAGCTTAGGTATTTGGCCAGAGCAGCCTGCTCGCCCACACGGAACTGACGACCTCGTCCCTGACTGTAGAGCCACTCAGCCTTGAGGCTCTCAATGGGATCCACCACGTAGCCATCGATGTATTTCAGACTCATGCACCAGTTCAGCACAAAGGGACGGTAATCAAAGCCGCTAAGGAGGAAGGACACACAATTGTATGAGCACAGCTGAGACCCTTCCAAGCTTTACTTACTCCGTGCTATTCGCTCCCATTGTCATGATCACACAAGGATTCTCAGTTATGGAGATGCTCAGCAGATTCGACAGATGCGACAGCGTGCAAATCTCATTGAGATCGTTTATGTTATTCTTCGCCAGGTTCAAGGTTTCCAGAGAGACGGGCAAGTACTTGTCACACTGTCGCAGATGGGTCAGGCGATTGCCCTGCAAATGGAGTTCGCGCAAGGAGCGAAGGTAGGACATATCCGATATGCTGCCAATGCTGTTGTCTGCCAGATTCAAGTATTCCAGATTCACATTCGTATTGAGATGCTCGATGGTCTTGATGTTGTTGCCCTCCAGATTGAGCACACGCAGATGAACGCATTCCTTCAGGCCCTCAATCGAGAGTATTCCATTGAAGGAGAGGTTCAGCTCGCGTAGGCAATGGAGTCGACAGACGCCATACATGCGCAGCAATTGATTTTTGGCCAGCGACAGCTGAAAAGGTTAAAGGACATTCATTAGAAATTCATTCATGAGAATATTGACATTTTGTATATATGTATTATTTATTATCTATATCGTCACCGTTTCGATCTTCAGATACGAATCAATGTTGTCGATTTTCTGCAGCTCATTGTCGTCCAGTATCAGCTTGCGTATATTCTGGGCATCGTCCTGTTTTGGCACCTTCTTCAGCTGCTGCTTGGATAGGTCTAGCGTCTGCTTTTCGCTGCAGCTCTCGTCGCCTGCAAAAGAGAGGAGAGAGAGGAGAGCAGTGTGACCAGGGGCGTGTAAACAGTGATGAAGTCATCGTCTGTGCAATGGCAGGTGTTGAGGCTGAGGGTGGCGCCGTGCCCACCCTCAAAAGTAGACTGCGAATTGCAATGCACGCCGATAGACAAACCCGTCTCAAGCGCCAATTGCAGCAGCCGCAGCAAGCAAACGTTAATTAGCCAACTGAACAACTCTAATAGCAACTTACCACTCATTTTGTAACAGCCAAATTCCTGCACTTCCCAACTAATGTGTGAATGGAGTTAATTTGGCAGCATTCGATGGCGTCCACTACGAAAAATCAATGTTTGGGAATGCGAGCGCCTCCCTCCTTTTGAAACCAGGGCTGCGTGCTGATACTAAATAACATTACCACTGTTATTAACAGCGCGCTGTTTTAATAGCAACGTAAATAATGCAATTTCAGTCACAAATTTTGTATATTTTACCAAAAGTTGAGAAAACTAATTTTGTAAGCTGACAGACAACTGTGATAGTCAGTGTGACTCATTATCGATAAACGATTGCAACCCTAATGTTGCGTACATTTATTCAACTATCAGAGCTGGTCACACTGTTATCGTGTGAATGGCGCTATATTTTGAAAACTCTTGTTCTTATTGGGCGTTTTGTGTGGTTTTATACAAATCATCATTAGAAAATATATATGGAACGATAAACTAAAATGTATTCTTTGGCTTATTCTTCGATATGTTTGGCCCAAACGCAGACTCTACGGATCTGTAGACCTCGCCCACCATGCACGGCACGCGTTCCAGATCTTCCATTAGCTTCATTTCCTCCTGCAGATTGTTAAGATACATGCGCTGCACACGTCGCATCATGGGCGCAATAACCTTGGAGCTGACTATGTCCTCGACAGAGAAATCGAAATTATGATTATCCGCAGGAGCGGGCATCGGTACAGAATTATCTTTTGACACACTTTTAGGAATTTTGAACTTTTCCTCATCCTCGACCGGAGCACAGTCGGTTTCTTCCGACAAGCCAAGTGAGGGCAGCAACATTATCTTGCTAATCGACTTCTCCATTCGTTCCTGCATCTCGATCTCCGACTGCACCACAGAGCGCAAGTTCTCGCCACTCTTAGTGGTAATCACAGTCCTGGCCGATTTCGAGGATGGACTATCTGTGGCCCCATATTTGGCGTTGAACTGAGCTGTGGCTAGTCTGCAACGTTCGCGTGTCGACTCCAGCATGGAAGTCGAAGTCTTTAGCTTCCTTGGCGAGTGATCTGGGGGAATGGAGAGCAGCTGCTCGCTGTGATCGCTATGATCGCTGTGAGTATACGCCGAATCCTTGCCAAACTTTGAGTTCTTATACAGCAAACAGTCTCCGTCGGCGCCCTGGCGATCCGGCTTGTCCTCCGAGGGCAACGAAGGCAGGCGATAGGCGCCTCTGGACTGAGGCACATAGTCCGCATTGAAAAATGACTTCGACTTCTCGTAGCGGGGTCGAGGTTCAATCTTCGATCTGTTCTGAGCTCGATTCACAAGCGTTTCCATTATCGGATGTTGCTGATGCTGATGCTGATGCTGATATTGATTCGACTGATGCTGATGATGATGATGATGCTGTTGATGTTGATGCTGATGCTGATGCTGACGGTGCTGGCGCTGCTGCTGCTGCTGTTCTTTCTGTAGTTGCTGCTGCTGTTGCTCTTTCTGTAGCTGTTGCTCTTTCTGCAACTGTTGTTGCTGCTTCAGCTGTAGTAGCTGCTGCTGCTGCTGCTGCTGTTGCTGTTGCTGTTGCTCTTTCTGTAGCTGCTTCTGTTTCTGCTGACTGTGACGTAGACAAGTCTGAGTTGCCTTTTGCAGCAGCTCCTTGGGTCGAGCCGCCTTCTGCTTGACCTGCAGCGATTCCTTCTGATTGCACACAGCATAATGATCCAATTGCTTCCTGAATTTTTGCTCATTGATTTGAGTTGTTGTAGTCTAGCAGATAAAAAGGAAGCATTAGAAATTGTCGCCAATTAAGCGAGTCGTAGCTAACCGTCGGGTTGGCCGTGTAGTTGTGGTAGGTCTTATGGTACTTATTATAGGAATCCATTTCTCTCAGAGTATATCAACCTCTCCGGAAATATATATATATGCTTGTTTTATAAGGAGACCCGTTCAATTTAGCAGTTGAAGTGTGAATTGAAACGGAGCTTGAAACTCCAGAGTTATACAAAACTTCAAGGCACACCATATACAAAACAAAAAAAAAAGAAGAAAGGAAATATAGAGGAAAATATATTTGACGTTGGCTTAGCAAATAGGTAGAATGTACTCTACAATAAACAATAATAGAAATAAAAACATGCAATTATAGTCGAAGAATTGCTAAGCACCTCGATAATCACTACAAATCCCATGAAATCTGGCTTCGTATCAATATTTGTCCCTTAGTTTCATTAGGGTTCTTTTTATGCCTTCTAATAAAAACACAATTGGCTAATTAATTAGTATCATCATTACTATCATCATCATCATAATCATTATTATAGGCGACAAACTAACTTTAAGCTGTTTCCCATGTGGCAAACGCTTAACAAGTTCCGGAATCAGTTGAGCTTCTGCACAGGATTTGCAGCACTCTCGCTCTCTCACTCTCGCTCTCTCCCACTCTCGTGAGAGAGAGGCACTTAGTGCGCTCTGCTCTCTGTGCTGTGCCACTATTCGCCTTTTGCAGACTGTGGCTCCGCAGCCTTTGGGCTCTCCAGTCTTTTGCTGACTTTCAACGTTGTCGGTTGTCGCTGTCGTCGTCGCCGTCGCTGTCGCCGTCGCCGTCGCCGTTGTCGTTGTTGACTGCCATTATTTTAGGCTATTCCGTGGTCGTTGTTGTTGCTGTTGTTGCCGTTGTTGCTGTTGTTGTTACTGCTGCTGCTGCTACTTTGCGTTGCACGTCGCTCGCCCCCTAGCCGCGCCCCCTTGTCGACCAGTTCGCAAACGTGCCGCGAACGCGTGTGTCTCCTAGCCCAGCCTGGCCTAGCCTATCTCTCTGCTCGCCCATGTATGTGAACGTGTGTGTGCGTGTGTGTTGAAGGCAGCAGCATGGCCCGCAAAGACAGCGCAAAAAAACGTTGCATACTTGCGGACGCACCGAATAATGATTTTTGCGTGTGTCGAAATGAAATGCGGAATGCCAATTGAAAATCAGCTGGAAAATCCCGAATTCGAATTCATTAAAAAGTGACAAAGTGACTGAAACAGAAACAGAAACAGCACGAGGCGGAAAAAGGAAAAGAAACAGAAAAGAATCGAACTGGAGAGCAAAAATATGAAGGCAGCCAAAACGAAATCGACGCTGAAATACAAATCTGACATTGGCAGGAGCACGCAGCACACGCACACACACACTGACACTCACGCTCACACACACACATGCAGAGGCGACAACAGCCTGCGTCCTATGCCCAACATTTTGGCCGATGAATGAACTGACATAAARCTTGACGAGCATAATACACACTCACACTCACACTCATACATACACACATACACACACACTCGCGCAACATTTAAAAGCATATAAAAAGGCAATTTTCGTAGATTTTTGCGTGCCCTTGTCAAAGTAAGAGAAATCGAAATAGAAACTTCCTAGTTGAAACGTGCCGCGCATTTGCCACATGAAAAATCAGCATCAGCTGCAAATCAAATAAAATATAACAAATAAAATACAATACGAAAATCCAATCCAGCA